GGGGGGGGGGGGGGGGGGATTAGGTTGGTGAGATATAGCTGAAAGAAACCCTGGTTCCATGCCTGGAACGCGTGTCGTAGGCTGCCGACCTCTGACATCGCAAAGGCAGCTTGAGCTTAGGCCTAAACTTAACTTACTAATACTGACAATCACGTGGTACAGAGACTCGGAGGAATACACATTAAAACTAAACTTTTTTGTTACACTGTTCTGTCGAGAAAAAAATGTATTTTTTCTTTGAGCCAAACTATCAATCGTTTTTTTTTTTAACCAACCTATCAATCGTTCTTTGAACCAACCTATCAATCGTTTCTCTGAACCAACCTATTAATCGTTTCTTTGAACCTACCTATTAATCGTTTTTTTCGTCGTGACCTTGTAACAGTGCACCTGCTCCTCAAGCTGAGATTGTACGCACGGTGTCACCACTCCAGCTCGAGCCAAGTGTGAATCAGTCACTGAGACCTTGATGAAAAACTCACGCGGCGAAGGACGTAGGTGAATAGATCGTCGAGGAGCAGTCACTCACGCTCAGTGTGTGGGGGGGGGGGGTGCATGCAACATTTCATCGCGACGTCAATCCGGCCATTAGTGTCAGGTCCGGCCCGGCCGATGTTACGATACGCCGGGCCAGGGACTAGCAGTTCGGGTGTTGCTCAACACAATACCGGGGGTCGTGATGTGGTGGGGAAATTAACAGTACCGCTATGAGGTGACATGTTAAAGTATGGTCAGTCTGCTAGGTCTTATATTGTCAGTTCCGTCACAGTGTGCTCTTCATACAGGGCTGTAGGAAGAGGTGGTGCAGAGGGCAGCCCGCCCCGCGGGCTCCACTCATTTTTCGAAGGGCATTTCATCATGTAAATTATACATTATGTAACTTATTTTTTACGTATTCTTTATGCATAGTCACTCACAGTCATTTTTTTGGATATATGTCAAAGCAGGATATCCTGAAGTTGATGAAATTTCCTTTGAAATTATTCTTTCATTTGTTTCAACAAACCAGGGGCTTCATTTCAGGGGGGTGGGGGTTGGGAGGGAGGGGCAAAAACAAAACCTGGTCGGCTTGTTAGGTTGTTTATTACTGGGGGCGCAACAGCCCACAGCAATTTAAATATAACCTGCACATTCGGAAGAAGTGGGGGGGGGGGAGCAAATGCCCCACACTGCCCTACCCAAATGGCGTCCCTGCAACAAACCTCTGCGAAACTGGTCTTTTCGTCCATGTTCATCATTCAGACAAAGGACAGGAACAGAATCGATACTCATTCTCCTGTAAATCCAAATTTAAGAAATTGATTGGTTTGTCAATTATTAACAAGAACACCTTTTGCCTTAAATACTCGCTGTGAGCAGACCCGAATTCTGTTGAACTGCCAATATTTATTTTAAGTCATAAATGTCACAAACCTGCTATCAGATGTTTTAATAGTTATTTTAGAACAGCCATTAAAAGCTTAAATGGCTAGTATATATATATATATATATATATATATATATATATATATATATATATATATATATATATATATATATATATATA